GTGGGGACAACTGGGAGTTGAGGACTGCTGGACAGATGTGCGAGGGCTCTGTGGGGAGTGGCTGCTTGTCCTTCCGTGGAGCTCCCAGCCAGTGACGCCTTCCGGCCTCAAGGAGTTGGATTCAGCCTCCACCCCCCGAGCCCTGGCCTCAGGGACTGAGCCCTCAGGGTCCTGACCCAGAATGGGCCAAGCCTGGTGATCCAGCTCTGGAACAGTGTGTCCCACCTCAAGGGTTCCTGTGGCGGCAGCCCCTAAGCTGAGGCCACACAGCTGACAGGTGAAGGAGGGCGCTACAGACTCAGCAGCGGGTGCTGGATGGGGCAGGTGACATGTCCAACCCCGCGGGGGTATGATGGTGCGGTCGGCCCTGACGCCCTCCTCCTGCCCACCTGGTACATGGCGGCAGTGGGAGGTGGGCTTCCTGTTGAGATCTGACCAGTGACTCACAGCCTGGAAGAGCAGGGTGGAGGGGCTGTCACACTGACCGTGGGACCCTCCCAGGAGCCTCTAGATTTGGCAACAGCAGGGATGGCTCATTTATAAGCTTTTTCTGTGGTGTTTGAACTTGTACCAAAATGGAAAAAAGCATCAGTCGTGATGTCAGCACAGAGTGATCTGACACCGAGTGCTGCTCCCCCAGGGAGGCTGGGCCTCAGAGCAAGCCTCCTCTCCACAGGAAGGCAGTCGATGACGTCTACACCCTCCTCTTCCTTGCTGGTGGGGAGGTGGGAGGGGAAAGTGGAAAGCAACCTGTTCCCGCTGGGGGCCTCACAGCTTCCTACCAGCCGTGGAGGTGACAGGTGACGGGAGTCAGGCTCCACCCTAGAACAGAAGCAGCTTTGCAGGCAGCATCATTTGGGTCCAGATGAAAGTCTTGCCTGCCACCAGTGTCCCAGTGGAAGCCCCTCCCAAGAACAGCCCCCAGGCCCCTCCCTACTCCAGACCCCTCGGGGGTGCAGCAGGGAGTGGTCGTGGTTGACCAGGCTTCCCCTAGCCCACTCCAGGTCGCTGTCCTACCTGGCATGGCTGCCTTGGCATCCCTTCTGCCTATACGTGAGCACCTGAGAAAGGCTCTCTTCTGGGAGAAAGTCCCTTCAGAGCAGAGCCCCTGAGCTCTGCAAACTCCTGGCAGGCTCCTAGGAGTGGGCAGTGGCCCCCAGGGGACAGCCTCTCTCCTGGGCTTCTGCTCCCCCTCACCCTGGCCACCTTCTTGACTTGTACACCTCACCACGTTCCCACCCTGCTGCCACCAGATGCCCCTTGGACTAGGGTGCACTGGCCTCCTCAGAATCCCTTGCCAGCCCTCTGAGATGGCAGGATGGACTCATAGCTGGCAGGAAGGATCCAGCTAACAAAAGCTGGTGTCTGGCAGAGTCATCTGCCTCAGGGTAGCCCTTGGAAACCACCCCCTATCTCTTGGCACTTGAGATCTGTGGCTGGTGCCTGTGCATCTCCTGGCTATATGCCATGGGGGTGCTGGACAGCATGACCCTACACAGGCGACCTGTTTGGCTGATGAGCCATTCCCTCTGGCAGCCAGCGTGCCACAGGAGCATACACAGCTGAGGGAGACCCTGGCCAAATCAGTGCGTTCTGCATGGCCTGGCCTGGTAGGTGCAGCCTAGACGGGCAGAGGGCCACAGGGTACACAGCCGTCTCCCTCGCACCCAGCGCAGACTTCATCCCTTGCGGACATGGGGTGATGACCTAGGGGAAGGGAAGAAGAGGCTGAGGCTGAGTCCCTATGGGAAGGTGGCTGAGTCCCTCCTGGAAGGCCGGTGCCCACGGGGCAGTCTGGGAGAGACAAGTCTTGTGGGCTCAGAGAATCCCCTCAGGCAGTGTTCTCCTTGCCGGCCTAAGTGCCTGGGCCTGAGCCTGGGAGGGACCAGGAGAGGGTGCGGCTCAGGCTCCTCACCGTCTGCAAGAGGCTGGATGGAAATAGCTGCACCCATCTGGGCGATGAGTCACTGACGGGCGTTTCTTAAAGAGGTTCTATTTTAGGTGAGATGCTTGTGACACAACCTGAGTGAGGGGGACTGAGTAAAGAAGGTTCTGGTGGTTAGTGCAAGAGTTTTAGAACATGCCATGTTCAACCTGGTCTGGAGCCTAGGGGGACAGGGCCTCCCTGAAGTCCCAAATAAGAAGCCTTCCCTCCTAGATCCCTCTTCTCAGGAAGCCCCACCTCAGGCCTGCTGCGCCTGCAGGTGCCAAGCAGGTGCGGTGCAAAGGAGCTAAGTATGTAGGACAGACCTCCTCTCAGGGGCTCCACTGAGGGTGCGCACAGACAGCTTGCCCCTGGGAGCTCCCACTTGGATGGGTGTGAGCCCTGCTCCCCCAAGAATGACCTTCCTAAAGAAGTCTTGGGACTGAGTCCCAGGGACACAGATTCTTTCCTCTGTGACTTTTTTGGTGCAAATGTAGGCAAAACCGCCTTGGCTCTCAAAAGGCATCTGGGTGAGTTAACAGTTTCCAGCTGCTTTGGCAGCTCTGTTGTGTTGCTAGAGCTGGGCGTGGTCTTTGAGGGCTCTGCCAGTGTTTTGCACAGGTGACATGTGGACCCACGACTTGACCTATGTGAGGCCTACTGATCTTTGGGCGAGGCAGGAATGCAGCATCACCAGGCTCCAGGCTGTGGCTCAGGAGCCAGGTGGGGCTGGCGGGGCTGCTCTTGCCAGCAGCAGCCCTTCGTAGCTAGGGAACCATGGGAGCACTCACCGTGTCACCTCAGATCTTGCTTTTCTTCTCATTAAAGATGAAATAAGAGAATGCCTATGACCATGCCCAGTGTGGGCACACTATGCTCACCAGGGTGTGGCGTCTTCTCCCTCCTCGGATGCTGCCCTTAGGCTGCTAGGTAAGGTAGTCTTGCCCCGACTGCCCACATGGCAAATCCAGCAAAAGCAGCAGCATAGCTCCATGCTGTCAAGGCGGAGAGCAGCGCTCAAGGCCCCCGAATTCATCTTCTGCTCCAGGGGCCAGACCGGACATCTTCCTGACGAGGGGGCCACAGTGGAGCATTCAGTGCCTCTGGCTGTAGGCATGAAGGAGAAACGTTGGCCTCCGGGCTTAGCTCTGCTCGAGGGGGAGGAGCCTGCCCACCCAGGTGCCAGGCTCCAGTCCTGTGGCATCTGTGTGTGCTAGAGACGGTCGGGATCAGCCCCATGAGTTAGCGTCTCTGCACTGAGCCCTGCCTTGTGCCACACACCGCGTGTGGTCCTCAGGACACGTCGAGAGCTCACAGGCGAGGTGGGGAGATAGGAGACATCCAAGGAAACACATTAGTGGGGAAGGATAAGGACTGTGAAGAAAATAAACCAGGTGATTAGATTGTGTGGCCAGAGAGGGCCCTAGTGAGGAAGTGATACTTGGTCTGAGACCTACATCAATAACAGGGCCCGGGGCAGAGGGAGTAATGAGTGCAGAGGCCCTGGGACAGACGTGAGCTCCGAGGGTCACTCGGCAGGACCGGAGACATACTGTATGTGGGGTGGGACAGCTCCGGGGGAGGAGCCGAGGAGAGGAGGGCCGGAGAGAGGGGTGGGCTGAGGTAGAGCAGGGGCCTCACGGCCATGGTAAAAGTGCCCCTGGGGAGTGTGGTGGGATCCAAAGAGCAGCCTCAGCCTGTAGATGATGTGTCTGATTTATAGGTGGAGCTTTTGGCTCATGGAACTGGAGGTCCAAGGGCAGACTTAAGGCGTAACCAAATCTAGAGTTATGACGTCATCCCCTCTGCCCTCTCCTTGCCTTGGCACCACTCTGACTGCCCATCCACTTCATTTTAGTACCTGTATGTGGGGAAAGCACGCCAAGGCTTCATCTTCCCTATTGGCACCCCAAAAGGATAAAAGGCCCCCCCTGCCTTCGCTCACTTACCAGGCATCGTGGAAGGGCTCTGACGCCCTATGTGCAGGTCATGTGCCCACCTGCACCCCTGGCTCACAGTTGTGCTTGGCCCACCCTGAGTTGCGCCCGTGTCCTCGGAGGGTTAATGGCAGAGGGGCCACAGGCATGTCACTTGACCGGCAGCACGTTTCTTTCTTTTAAAGATTTATGTATATATACAGACTGGGGTACAGGCCAGAGGTGCAGGGGCCGTGAGAGGCTTCACCAGAGACAGAGTGGGGAGCAGAACAGGTAGATGTACTGAAACACACTGCTGAGGGGAGCAGCGGGCAGCTCAGGAGAGGTCTGCCACGCCACGTGGGTCACCCCCCCACCCCGGCCGGGGATCGAACTTGTGCTGCAGTGGCTGCGATAGCTTCATAGTGCTGCACTTTTGCCGCAGCACGTTTGTTTTGGAGACAAGAATTATCCCATTAAAAAAAAAAAGTCTTCCACAAGGAAAACAAGGCTTATTTAATTCTACTCACATCGTCGCTTACATGAGCTTGTTCTCCCTTATTTTGCTTTTACCATTGTCCATATGTGTATTGTCTCCTCATTCCTCAAGGACCAGCTTCATGGTTTCTCTTTGTTCTACTCCTCTCTCCTGCACCTATTACTCTATTTATTCATCCTGCAAGTTTTTAACGGAATACCTATTGCTTACAAGCCCTCCTGATTTTCCTCGTTAAGCTCACTCTGGCTGCTACATGGGGGTGGCCTGATGGAGCTGCAGAGGAAGGAGAGCGACCAGTAAAGGCTGTTGGGGTCATCCAGCCACAAGGATGGAAGCAAGGGTTGGGTAGGCAGGGCCTGCAGGTGGAGGAGGTACACAGACCCGACATGCAGCCAGTGTGGGGGAGGGCTGGGGTCTGGCAGGCTGTGGGGCTGCGGCTTGGGGTGGACAGTGTGTGACGCCTCTGCTCAGCATGTGCCTGACAGTTCCTGGAGGGCAGGGGAGTTCCATCTGTTCCCCCTGGCAGCCCCGAATCCCCTCAGCTTGGTGTTCCTGCCTGTGCTAGGAGTTGGCCCTGCCTGCTGTGGGGCCTACAGTGACGTAGGTCATGGGTGTCCCCCAGTCCTGGCCTCCTTTGCTGACCATGATGTTTCCTCCTCAGGTGAAGGAGTGGCTCTGCCTGAACTGCCAGATGCAGAGGGCTCTGGGGATGGACATGACCACGGCGCCTCGTTCCAAGAGCCAGCAGCAGCTGCACTCCCCAGCCCTGTCTCCTGCCCACTCCCCAGCCAAACAGCCCCTGGGCAAGCTGGAGCAAGAGAAATCACGGGGTCCAGGAGGATCACCTGGCCCCCGCCAGGGGGAGACAGCCAGGGCAACCTCAGTGCCAGGGCCTGTCCAAGCAGCTGGCCCTCCAGAGGTGGGCAGAGCGTCTCCTCAGCCCCATCACCCCACCAAGCCTTCCACAGCTGACCCCAGGCCACCTGCAGGAGAGCCGCTGGCCAAAAGTGCCACTACAGTGCCCCCTGGGCCTGGTGCTGCTGAGCAGACCCAGGAGGGCCTCACTGGGAAGCTCTTTGGCCTTGGTGCGTCGCTGCTGACCCAGGCGAGCACCCTCATGTCTGCGCAGCCCGAGCCTGAACCCCAGGGACAGCCTGCCTCCGGCAAGGGGCCACCCAAGATTGTCTTCAGTGATGCCAGCAAGGAGGCTAGCCCTAGACCCCCAGGCTCAGGACCCGGGCCTGGGCCAGCACCTGGGGCCAAAACTGAGCCTGGAGCTAGAACAGGCCCTGGGTCAGGGCCTGGAGCCCTGGCAAGAACTGGGGGAACAGCCAGTCCAAAGCATGGCAGAACAGAACACCAGGCAGTGTCCAAGGCTGCTGCCAAGCCAAAGACCATGCCGAAGGAAAGGGCCAGCTGCCCACTGTGCCAAGCCGAGCTCAACGTGGGCAGCAAGGGCCCAGCCAACTATAACACCTGCACTACCTGCAAGCTCCAGGTGTGCAACCTGTGTGGCTTCAACCCGACACCCCACCTGGTGGAGGTAAGAGAGCTGGACCAAGCATGTTCCCTTGGGTCTTTGTGAGAGGCCAAGGTGAGGGGGGCTGGAGGGAGCTGGGGAGCCAGAAAGGGTTGCAGACAACTGAGTCTGTAGCAGCCTCAGGGCTGCCCAACGGCTAATGTTTCCACTCATAGAACTAACTGGCACTGTGCGTGCTGCTTCTGACTAGCTGACCGGTACCCCGACCAGTACCAGGGGTTGCCAAGCTCAGGAAGGCCTGAACTGGGCTCCTTGTCCCCAGTTATCATGAGAATAGCCCTGATGAAAGATGCCAACCTCCTTTGCTCATGTAGGAAAGACCTGAGGTCCCATCCTGCCCTTTATCTGTGACCGCATAGGGGAGTGAGGGGTGTTAAGCAGAGGGCTGTGCCCCCATGTCCCATTGCCCATACTCTAGCCCCGCCAGGTGGTACCCCCCTTCATCCTCTCTTCTAAGATCTGCGTGCTGATGTCTACTGGCCAGTGGTGGTCTGCACCCCCCCCACCAGGAAGCCACAGTGGGGTTCACGTGGAGGACAGAGCAGGGCAGCTCCCGGGCCAGACACATCCAGCCCTGCCCGGGCAGCCCCACACCTTGTCAGGCCACAGCCACTGGTTCACATGTTCCCCTGACTGGATCCAGCGCTCCGTGGATTGGTTAAGGGGATGCCTAGACATAGTCTTACCCAGGAAAGTTTGAGGGAGTGGTGCGCCTGAACCTGTCTCTGAAGTCCCTGCTCCAGGAAGCGCTGGCACGGTGCAGAGCTGGGTAGAAAGGTGGGGGAGGCCCAGTGCTGTCTTGTAGCTTAGATCCCTGCCTGGGGGCTTCGAAGGTGTGGGGCTGCCCGGCAGAGCTGGGCCTTCCGGGCGCTGCGGCTGCCCTGCCCCTTCCCGACCCCTCTGTCCTGCCTGCGCTCCGAGCGACCCCCACAGTGGCTTGGGAGGGAGGGGCGTGTAGACCCCCAATGGCCAAGGTGGGGTAACAGAGAGCACGGTGTTACCATGGCCTCGGAGGCACCTAGTTCTCTTTCGCCTTGGGCCAGGCCTCTCGCTCGGGCTGAGGTGGCCCTGTACTGCCGCCCACTGTGAGGAGGAAGACTGCTCTGGCCACCGTGTCCATATTTTCCCATGTGCAGGGAGGGGCAACCCACAGTAAGACAAGTAATCTCTTTTTTTTAAGAATTTAAAAAAATTTACTTTGTCCCTTTTTTTTTTTTAGGTGTTTTAATTTATTTATGCATACAGAACTGGGGTACAGGCCAGAGGTGCAGGGGTGGTGAGAGGATTCACCAGAGACAGAGTGGGGAGCAGAACTGGCAGATGGTGTAAAACATACTGCTGAGCGGAGCTGCAGGAGATCTGCCGCGCCATGTGGGTCAGCTCCGGGGCGGGATCGAACTCACACCGAAGCTGCCGTGGACAGCTTTACAGTGCAGCACTTTAACCGCTGCGCCACCAGGGAGGACCCAGGCCAAGTAACCTCTACATGACACCATGTGGCTCTCCAGCCCCCCACTGCCACTTCCCCAAGCCCCAGGTCCAGTGACTGGGACGGGCTCACCACAGGGCCATGGGAACTCCAGTGCAGGGAGTACCAGGCACCTTCTCACTGCTCGTTGCCCAGACCTGTGGGGCCGAAGCCCTGCTGGACGGCTGAGCTGGCCCACCCAGAGGGCTCTTGTCCCCGAGAGACCTCCTGGCTCGCAGTTCCTCACAAAGTACGAGCGAGGCATGCAGGGGAGGGGTTCACGTCCAGGAGTGTAAGTGCTCCTGACAGCTCCTTCCAACAGCCCCTTCCAACAGGCCGGGCAAGGGAAGCGCTGATTCAGCTGAAACAGGAAGGTGTCTCAGTCACATGCTGACTCTGGATGGGTACCTGACTTCCAATCTCAGTCAGATTAGCTGCTTGGTCCTGGCCTTCCGGGACCCCACAGCTTCTGCCTCTCTGTGGCCAACACTGCCCCTGTCCACCCTTCAGTCCTGCCCTGATCAGGGCTGCCCTTGCTCCACAGGATCTGATGGGTTCCATTGGCCTGGCGGGAGCTCCAGGTATCCTAGCTCCTCTCTACCCAGGCCCTCTGCTCCTGTCCACCCAGGCAGGCCCTGACTCCTGCTTCTAACAACAGGCAAAGCGTGACCAGTTAATGCAGCTATCCCCAGCGGGCCCGGAGCCATTCCGGGAAATGTGAGGCCTGGCAGCCTGAGGTTCCTGCCATCATCCACTGCCAGAGATAGGGGCTGGCAGCCTGGGGTCATCCTCAGCTCCTCTCACCTCCTCGTCCATTCCGTGGACCGAAGCCTGCTGGCTCTGCCTCGCCACAAGACTCGAGCCTCCTCCTCTCTCCACTCCTGAATCCACAGCTTTCGTCCCAGCCCTTGCCCCAACAATGACCCAGCTCCCCTTACTTTGCCTACCTTCTCCCTTGCCAGGGGTTTGGGGGCTGGCACTGGTGCTTGGTATGTCCCCCTCCTCTGCCCATCAGCATTATTGCTGTTACTCGGGGAGGCCCCCGACCAGGCCACAGGCTGTCAATGGTGGCCTCACCTCAGCACATGGCCACTTGGCAGTCAGAGCAGTTTTGTGCTTTCCTGTGACCTACTTTGTATGCCCTTGGCTAGAGATTCCTGATTTCTTAGCAGGTGCTGGGACACACCCTGCCTTGAAATGAGGTGACAAGACCAGTGGCTCCTTCTCCCTGGCTATTTTTCCCATACCCTGCTTGACCCTGGAGGGCCTTCCAGGCCCAGGATGACTGTGGTTTCTGTGCGGCTTGAGGTGGGGTCTGTGTCTACATACAGGCTGGGAGTCTGAGGAGGGACCCCGAGGGGCCTCACTCCTCCCCGTTAGGTCTGCTGTGGGCCCACCGGAGCCACAGCTGCCTGTCTGGGATGCCCGGCTGGGAAATTTCCTCAACTCCTCTGAGCAATAAAAATCTTAACCTTCTTTCCACATGAGTCCAGAGTAGACAGTGGAAGAGGCGTTAAAACTAGATTCTTCTTCCCTTTGAGATTTCCTCTGGAAAAAAAAAAATAACCATAGTGCTATCTAGTGAGTCATTTCATAATTAAGAGTTGTTGATTCCAAATTTTTCACCTATTTATTTTTTTTGAAGGATAATAGTACCCTCTGGCTTAATTTTTAATTGCCTTTCAGTTCAGAATAGAATCTGTGAAGAAATTAGTGGGATTTAAATTGTTACAGTAACATTATGGGTTCTTTATTATAATTGCCAAAATACCAGTCATGCCCTTGAGATGTCAGGCCTTCCTGGGCAGAGGGCCTGATACCTGTGAAATGTGGACTTGGCTGAGCTTATCTGAGGGAGGGGTTATGCCAGGGCATCTGGGGCCAGGCCAGCAGCTGCCTCTGCTCCAGACCTTCTTCATGCTGTCTCTGGGGTTATAATTTCAAGGAGCTTGAACTCAACCTGTGTGGAAAGGGGGCGATAACGCTCCCTCTTCGGTTTCTGGGAGAGCCAGGTAAAATGCATGGCTATTTATGCACTCCCCAACACACAGTCAGTCCACAACCAGGCGACTGGAACCAGGTGGCAGTCCAGTCAGGGCTCAGTCTCAGCCTGTCCAAACCCAGGTACCTCTAGGGGTGAACCGTGCCAGGCCAAGTGAGTCCAAGGACCAACCAGTAGGCAGCACCCATCATCTCGTAGAGGTTTGTGGGGCATCACAAACATCAGATAAGTTCCCCAGTGTGTTAGGGCCTACGGGGGCTCTTGACTGCTGGATTTCACCCCAGCTTCCAGCTACTTGCTCCTTATCCTCTCCCCCAGCCAGCTGAGGTATGACTGTGGAGGCCAACATGAGGGTAACCTGTCTCTTCTCCCACCCCTGTGCACCCTCTTCTCCAGACCCTCCTGCTCCTCGGTCTGCCCTCCCTACAGTCTTCCTCCTTTTCTGGTCAGGTGGGAAGTTCTCTACAGGGTAAGGAAGGGAGCCCTATTTATTTTTTAGGTACATATTTTGAACTTTGTATGTGTGCATTTTAAGGGTCAGGAAGTCTGTCATTGGGGGCAATAAATCTATCAGATCTTTTCTCCTCGTGCCTTTGGTCACATGCTTTGGAAGACATTCCCCTCCGTACGGTTATAGAAGTAGTCGTGGAAATATTCTTTGAGTGCTAGTGTCTTTTGTAATTTTCTTTTTTTAAAGATTTATTTATTTGTGCATACAGAACTGGGGTACAGGGCAGAGGTGCAGGGGTGGTGAGAGGATTCACCAGAGACAGAGTGGGGAGCAGAACAGACTGATCAACGAGGTACACTGCTGAGGGGAGCAGCGGGCGGGTCAGGAGAGGTCCGCTGCGCCATGTGGGTCACCTCCAGGGCGGGGATTGAACTTGCACTGAAGCAGCTGTGGCCAGCTTGCAGTGCTGCGTCCGCCACCAGGGAGGGCCTGCCTTTTGTGATTTTCATCTCACTCCCTCCCCTCCTGTTTCCTTACAGAAAAGTGAGTGGCTCTGTCTGAACTGCCAAACTAAGCGGCTGCTGGAAGGCAGCCTGGGAGAGCCTGCTCCCTGGCCGCTGCCTACCACCCCACAGCAGCCCGCCGCAGGCGCTCCTCACCGCGCGGCTGGACCTTCCCCTCAGAGGCAGAAAGGGCCACAGGGGCTGGGCCAGCCATCAGGCCCCCTGCCCGCCAAGGCCAGCCCCCCGCCTACCAAGGCCAGCCCTCAGGTCAAGCCTCTCCGGGCTTCTGAACCCAGTCGGACACCAAGCAGCGCCCAGGACAAGAAGACTGGAGTCCCAGTGAAAGCTGAGCCTGTGCCGAAACCACCTCCAGACACTACCCCGCCCCCCGGGACCCCTAAAGCAAAGACCGGGTCCCGGAAGACCGAACCTACCACCCCTGTGGTCAAGTCTGTTCCAGAAGCCCCTAAGGGTGGGGAGGCAGAGGTCAGTCTCATTCAGTTCTGGGGACTGCAGCTCTCAGGCAGACAGTTTAGGGAAGGACTTCCCTCCCTCGGGGCAGGAATGTAGGCCGGGATGTTCAGGGGTCGGAAAGCCTCCCGAGGTCCAGGGGCCTGTGAGCTCCATGCCGGGCACCTTGCTGGATACAGTGCTATTTCCCTACCGTTCGATCTGCTAAAGCATCTGAGGTCCTAGTGCTCCTTGGGCTTTGACATGGAACTGCAAGTTATTTAGAGAGATGTTGTGGGTGGTAGGCCCCGATTCCTTGGGAGATGGGAGAGACCCCTTCCCCTGGGTCCTGGGATCGACGGAGAAGGCTGTCACCCCCCCGCCCCCCACTGCCCATGGCCGTCTGCATGTGGAGTCAATGTCTGCTTCTCACCCTGCTGCAGGAGCTGGTGGGCAAGCCTTATTCTCAGGACCTATCCCGGAGCCCACAGAGCCTCAGTGACACAGGCTATTCCTCTGATGGCGTCTCCAGTTCCCAGAGCGAGATCACGGGTGTTGTGCAGCAGGAGGTGGAGCAGCTGGACAGTGCGGGGGTGACGGGCCCACGCCCACCCAGCCCCTCTGAGCTCCACAAGGTAGGAAGCAGCATGCGGCCTTCACTGGAGGGCCAGGGCCCGGCCCCGAGTGGTGAGCGGAGCAAGCCCAGCAGCGGCAGCGCCGAGGATCAGAAGCAGCGGCCTCACTCCTTGTCCCTCATGCCTGAGGCCTTTGGCTCTGATGAGGAGCTGGAGGATATTCTGGAGGAAGAGGAAGCCTCTCTGCAGTGGGGGCGCCAGAGGGAACAACAGGACACAGCTGAGTCCTCGGATGACTTTGGTAGCCAGCTGAGGCACGACTACGTGGAGGACAGCAGCGAGGGTGGCCTGTCCCCTCTCCCACCCCAGCCCCCAGCCCGGTCAGCAGAACTGACTGATGAGGAGTTCATGCGGCGGCAGATACTGGAGATGAGCGCTGAGGAAGACAACCTGGAAGAGGACGACGTCGCCGCCTCTGGGCACGGCCTGGCCAAACATGGCACCCCGAAGGGCGGCCCCAGGTCCCAGTCAGAACCCAGCCAAGAGCCAGCGGCCCTGCCCAAGAGGCGCCTGCCCCACAACGCTACCACGGGCTACGAGGATCTGCTGACCGAGGGAGGCCCGGCAGAGGCCACCGATGGCAGTGGGGCCCTGCAGGGCGGGCTGCGCCGCTTCAAGACCATCGAGCTCAACAGCACGGGCAGCTACGGCCATGAGCTGGACCTGGGCCAGGGCCCCGACCCCGGCCTGGACCGGGAGCCGGAGCTGGAGATGGAGAGCCTGACCGGCTCGCCTGAGGACCGCTCCCGCGGGGAGCACTCCTCCACGCTGCCGGCCTCCACCCCCAGCTACACCTCGGGCACCTCGCCCACCTCCCTGTCCTCTCTGGAGGAGGACAGCGACAGCAGCCCCAGCCGGCGGCAGCGGCTGGAGGAAGCCAAGCAGCAGCGCAAGGCCCGGCACCGCTCCCACGGCCCCCTGCTGCCCACCATCGAGGACTCCTCGGAGGAGGAGGAGCTGCGCGAAGAGGAGGAGCTGCTGCGGGAGCAGGAGAAGATGCGGGAGGTGGAGCAGCAGCGAATCCGCAGCACAGCCCGCAAGACCCGGCGCGACAAGGAGGAGCTGCGGGCCCAGCGGCGCCGCGAGCGCTCCAAGACGCCCCCCAGCAACCTGTCGCCTATCGAGGACGCCTCCCCCACGGAAGAGCTGCGGCAGGCCGCCGAGATGGAGGAGCTGCATCGCTCCTCCTGCTCCGAGTACTCGCCCTCGCCCTCCCTGGACTCCGAGGCCGAAGCCCCCGACGGCGGCCCCTCCCGCCTGTACAAGTCGGGCAGTGAGTACAACCTGCCCACCTTCATGTCCCTCTACTCGCCCACCGAGACTCCCCTGGGCGGCGCGTCCGCGCCCAGCTCCGGCCGGCCCCTGAAGAGCGCCGAGGAGGCCTATGAGGAGATGATGCGGAAGGCCGAGCTGCTCCAGCGGCAGCAAGGCCAGGCGGCGGGGGGCCGGGGGCCTCACGGCGGCCCCTCCCAGCCCCTGGGCCCCCGGGGCCAGGGCTCCTTCGAGTACCAGGACACCGCCGACCGCAGCTACGGCCGGGCTGCCCAGCCGGCCGCGGAGGGTACGCCAGCAGGCCTGGGCGCGGCCGTGTACGAGGAGATTCTGCAGACGTCACAGAGCATCGCCCGCATGCGGCAGGCCTCCTCGAGGGACCTGGCCTTGGCTGAGGACAAGAAGAAGGAGAAGCAGTTCTTGAATGCCGAGAGTGCGTATGTGGACCCAATGAAGCAAAACGGCGGCCCGCTCACGCCTGGAACCAGCCCCACCCAGCTTGCCGCCCCCATGTCCTTCTCCACCTCTGTCTCCCCAGACGGCAGCGGGGGCCGAGTCATTCCCGATGTCCGGGTTACTCAGCACTTTGCAAAGGAGTCTCAGGACTCCCTCAGGCTGCACAGCTCTCCAGCCTCCCCCAGCTCTGCTTCCAAGGAAGTGGGCACCTCCTTTCCCCAAAGCCCCGGCTCCCCAGCCGCCACGACTGTGGCCCCTTGTCCGCCCGGCCTGCCGCGAGGATACGCGGCTCCAGCCTCCCCGGCCGGCTCGGAGCGCAGCCCTGCGCCGGCCGCTGTGGGCCACGGCTATGGGCAGACCCCAGCCACTGCGAACTATGGGTCCCAGACAGAGGAGCTGCCCCTGGCCTCCAGCGTGCGGCCTGCCAGAGAGAAGCCCCCAGGCGTGAGCGATGGGGACAGCGGCACCCCCCAGCCCCCCCGGGCGTACTCCTACTTCTCGGGCTCCAGCCCACCTCTCTCCCCGTCTTCTCCCTCCGAGAGCCCCATGTTCTCCCCTGGCAAGCTGGGCCCCAGGGCCACAGCAGAGTTCTCTACACAGACGCCAAGCCCAACCCCTGCCTCAGACATGCCACGGAGCCCTGGTGCCCCCACCCTGGCACCTATGGTGGCTCAGGGCACACAAACGCCACACCGGCCCAGCACGCCTCGCCTGGTGTGGCAGCAGACCTCTCAGGAGGCCCCCATCATGGTCATCACGCTGGCGTCAGATGCCTCCAGCCAGACCAGGATGGTGCACGCCAGTGCCTCCACCTCCCCGGTGTGCTCGCCCACCGACAGCCACCCCTCCAGCCACAGCTACAGCCAGACAATGCCTCCGAGCGTGGCTCAGCTGCCCCCAGAGCAACCTGGGCCACCTGGCTTCCCACGGGCACCCAGTGCGGGTGCCGACGGGCCCCTGGCGCTCTACGGCTGGGGCGCCCTCCCCGCTGAGAACATCTCCCTGTGCCGCATCTCCTCTGTTCCCGGAACGTCGAGGGTGGAGCCCGGCCCCAGGCCGCCTGGCAGTGCCGTGGTAGACCTCCGCACAGCCGTCAAGCCCACGCCCATCATCCTGACCGACCAGGGCATGGACCTGACTTCTCTTGCTGTGGAAGCCAGGAAGTATGGCCTTGCCCTGGACCCAGTCCCGGGTCGGCAGTCGACCGCTGTGCAGCCCTTGGTTATCAACCTCAACGCCCAGGAGCAGACCCACGCTTTCCTCAGCACCGCCACCACCGTGAGCATCACCATGGCCTCGTCTGTGCTCATGGCTCAGCAAAAGCAACCTGTGGTCTATGGAGACCCCTTCCAGAGCCGACTGGACTTTGGTCAGGGTACAGGTAGCCCTGTGTGCCTGGCCCAGGTCAAGCAGGTAGAGCAGGCTGTCCAGACAGCCCCGTACAGAGGAGGGCCCCGGGGCAGGCCGAGGGAAGCCAAGTTTGCCAGATATAACCTGCCCAACCAGGTAGCGCCTCTAGCCAGAAGGGACGTTTTGATTACTCAGATGGGCCCCCCCCAGAGTGCTGGCCTCAAGTCAGGCCCCATGCCAGAGCCTGGCGGCGAGCCCCACCGGGCGGCGCCTGCAGAACTGCGGTCACACGCTCTGCCAGGGGCCAGGAAGCCACACACAGTGGTGGTGCAGATGGGAGAGGGCGCAGCAGGCACCGTGACCACGCTGCTCCCGGAGGAGCCCGCGGGAGCCCTGGATCTCACCGGGATGCGCCCCGAGAGCCAGCTGGCGTGCTGCGACATGGTCTACAAGTTCCCTTTTGGCAGCAGCTGCACAGGCACCTTCCACCCCACCCCTAGCGTACCTGAGAAGAGCGTGGCAGATGTGGTCCCACCCGGCCAAAGCAGCGGCCCCTTCTACAGTGCCCGAGACCCTGAGCCTCCCGAGCCCCCCTCCTACCGGGCACAGGGGCCAGTGGGGCCCGGGCCCGGGCCCCATGAGGAGCAGAGGCCCTACCCACAGGGCCTCCTTGGCAGGCTGTACTCCTCCATGTCTGACACCAACTTGGCCGAGGCCGGCCTCAGCTACCACGCCCACCGGATCGGGCAGCTCTTCCAGGGCCCGGGCCGAGACTCGGCTGTGGACCTCAGCTCACTGAAGCATTCCTACAGCCTGGGCTTTGCCGACGGACGTTGCCTGGGGCAGGGCCTGCAGTACGGCTCATTCACAGACCTCCGGCACCCCACAGACCTTTTGACCCACCCGCTGCCCATGCGGCGCTACAGCTCGGTGTCCAACATCTACTCAGACCACAGGTATGGCTCACGGGGAGAAGCAGCCGGCTTCCAGGAGGCCAGCCTGGCCCAGTACAGCGCCACCACGGCCCGCGAGATCAGCCGCATGTGTGCCGCCCTCAACTCCATGGACCAGTACGGAGGGCAGCGGGGCAGCGGCGGCCCTGACCTCATGCAGTACCACCCCCAGCCGGGGCCAGGGCTCAGTGCCCCGCAGGGCCTGGCTCCTCTCAGGCCTGGCCTCCTTGGGAACCCCACCTTCCCAGAGGGCCACCCGAGCCCTGGGAACCTGGCCCAGTACAGACCTACCGCCGGCCAAGGGACGGCAGTCAGGCAGCTGCTGCCATCCACAGCCACGGTGCGTGCAGCCGACGGCATGATCTACTCAACTATCAACACCCCGATCGCCGCAACGCTGCCCATCACCACCCAGCCCGCCTCCGTACTGAGGCCCCTGGTACGAGGCGGCATGTACAGGCCCTACGCCTCGGGCGCCGTCACAGCCGTGCCACTCACTGGCTTGACGCGCATGCCCGTCATCGCCCCCCGGGTCCCTCTGGGGCCCCCAGGGCTATACCGATATCCTGCACCGAGTAGATTCCCCGCGGCTTCCGGCGGCCCGCCCGCTGAGGGGCCTGTCTACCTGGGGAAGCCTGCGGCTGCCAAGGCCCCAGTGGCTGGGGGTCCGCCGAGGCCAGAACTGCCGGCAGGGGCCACACGGGAAGAACCTCTGTCCACAAGCGCCCCCGCTGCTGTCAAGGAGGCTGCAGCAGCCCCAGCCCCGGCCCCCCTGGCTGGCCAGAAGCCACCAGTAGATGCTGCTCCTGGGGGCGGCAGCGGGGCCCCGGGCCGGCCGGGGCTCGAGAAGGAGGAAGCATCGCAGGAGGAGAGGCAGCGGAAGCAGCAGGAGCAGCTGCTTCAGCTCGAGCGAGAGCGGGTGGAGCTTGAGAAGCTGCGGCAGCTGCGGCTACAGGAGGAGCTCGAGCGGGAGCGCGTGGAGCTGCAGAGACACCGCGAGGAAGAACAGCTGCTGGTGCAGCGGGAGCTGCAGGAGCTGCAGACCATCAAGCACCACGTGCTGCAACAGCAGCAGGAGGAACGCCAGGCGCAGTTCGCCCTGCAGCGGGAGCAGCTCGCTCAGCAGCGTCTGCAGCTGGAGCAGATCCAGCAGCTGCAGCAGCAGCTGCAGCAGCAGCTGGAGGAACAGAAGCAGCGGCAGAAGGCCCCCTTCCCTGCGGCCGGGGAGGCGCCCGGGCGAGGGCCTCCGCCCGCGGCCACCGAGCTGGCCCAGAATGGCCAGTACTGGCCACCCCTGACCCACGCGGCCTTCATCGCCGTGGCAGGGCCCGAGGGGCCCGGGCAGCCCCGTGAGCCTGTGCTGCACCGGGGCCTCCCCAGTTCCGCTTCCGACATGTCGCTGCAGACCGAGGAGCAGTGGGACACAGGCCGCGGTGCCATCAAGAAGCGGCACTCCATGCCACGCCTTCGGGACATCTGCGAGCCGGAATCGGGGCCCGAACCCTGCATGGTAAAGAGGATCGCCGACAGCAGCGTGCAGACGGACGACGAGGACGGGGAGGGCCGCTACCTCCTGACCAGGCGGCGCCGGGCGCGGCGCAGTGCCGACTGCAGCGTGCAGACGGACGACGAGGACGGGGAGGGCCGCTACCTCCTGACCAGGCGGCGCCGGGCGCGGCGCAGTGCCGACTGCAGCGTGCAGACGGACGACGAAGACAACGCCGAGTGGGAGCAGCCGGTGCGCCGCCGCCGGTCCCGGCTCCCCCGCCACTCCGACCCGGGCTCCGACGGCAAGGCGGACGCCACGGCCGCCTCGCCCGCTGCCCCGGCCGCAGCGAGGGCCGTGAGCAGCGTGGGCATCCAGACCATCAGCGACTGCTCCGTGCAGACCGAGCCCGACCAGCTCCCCAGGGTCTCCCCAGCCATCCACATCACAGCCGCCACTGACCCCAAGGTGGAGATCATCAGGTACATCTCAGCGCCAGAGAAGACTGGGCGTGGGGAGAGCCTGGCCTGCCAGACCGAGCCGGAGGGCCACGCCCAGGGCGTGGCTGCGGCACAGCTGGTCGGACCAGCTGCCATCAGTCCCTACCTGCCTGGCATCCAGATCGTCACCCCAGGACCCCTGGGCAGATTCGAGAAAAAGAAGCCGGATCCCCTGGAGATTGGATACCAGGCTGCCCACCTGCCCCCGGAATCCCTGTCACAGCTTGTGAGCCGCCAACCTCCCAAGTCCCCCCAAGTCCTCTATTCGCCAGTCTCACCGCTCTCCCCACACCGGCTCCTGGATACCTCTTTTGCTTCCAGTGAGAGGCTGAACAAGGCTCACGTAAGTCCTCAGAAGCACTTCGCAGTCGACAGTGCTCTCCGCCAGCAGACACTGCCTCGCCCCATGAAGACCCTGCAGCGGTCCTTGTCTGACCCTAAGCCCCTCAGCCCCACCGCCGAGGAGTCTGCCAAAGAGAGGTTCTCCCTCTACCAGCACCAGGGGGGACTGGGTAGCCAGGTATGGGCACAGGGGCTGGTCCAGGGCGGGAGAGGGTTCTCTGCCTAGCCTGGGGGGCCTCATAGGGAGGGGTTCCTGCTGGGGTGGGGGTGGAGTCACCTCCAGCTCCAGAGGCCCAGAGGAAGGCGTCAGGGGATGGAACTTCCTTGATGCACAGCTGGTGTAGCCTATCGCCGGGCTAGGACGTCCTGGGCAAATGCAGACAGTACACGTGCATGGGCCCCCACGGCCATCCAGCCGGACCCCTGCTGGGGACCTCAGGCCCCCCCTTAGCACTGCCTTTCCACGGTGCATCTCCAGTCTGGCCCTCACTGCCTCCCCTGCAGGCCTCTTCAGCTCTCCCACTCTGGGCCCTCCCGCTGCGAGCGAACTCAACCCCCCACCCCCACCCCGCTCTGTGGATATCTCCCCCAGAAATCAGTAACAAGAGCTCAACTGGGCTGCCAACGCCCCCTCAAGCCCCTCTCCTCAGCTTCCGGCTTCCACTGCCCCGTGTGGGTCACAGTATGCCCTCTGTCTCCTGCCCTCCCTGACCCTTAGCAGATCTGTTTCCATACCTGTCTGTGCCCCTAGAGAGGGAGCTAACGGGTGCCTGGAGCAAAAACTCCCCGACACCCGTGGCCTCAGTTGTGGGTGATGTCCTGGGTCTGGGAGGTGGCCTGCTGTGGGTGCCGTGAGGAGAAGATGGGGGTTTCATAGGTCTGATGCAAAGGACTTGAGAGCTGCAAAGGCTGCGAAGGTTGGTTTTTCTGAAAAGCCCTTGGAGTCTTTGGCAGTTTTAGGCAGATGAAGCAGGACAAGAAGGATTTGACAGCGCTTCCTGGGCAGGCAAAGCGTAGGCGGATGGGCTGAAGGAAGAGCCTGCAGCAGGGGCCCTGGGGAGAAAGGTAGGAACCAGACATATTATGGGGACGCATTTGCCCGTTTCCAGGTGTGGTGCAGGAGAGAGAGAGGTGGGGTCTCCAGTGGGGTTGCAGAGGTGATGAGCTCAGGTCGTAGAGTGGGTGAGGGTGGCGTCGGGAGCCCGGGCCAGCAGGAAAGGGAGGTCGGAGGAGCAGGGTGGTCCTGGCTCCAGACTAGGGTGGGCACAGGGGTGCCATGGCTGGTCATGTAGGACATGGTGGGCTCCATCACGTGCAGCCAGAATAACAAATGATGGACAAGGCAGGAATTCCAAAAGGAAAGTCACTCCACTACAGGCCCACCCTTTGTTCTGAGGTCTGGGGGGCACACAGTCATTTTCTTTATAACACATGGTAAAAGGGCTTTTTATATAGTCGCTTGGCAAGGTGAAAAGAAACCCAGTGTCAGTTCCCAGTGTATTTTGGGGGGTTTGAGTGACCCGTAAAACCCAAAAGCCTGGCACATTCTGAGAAGGCTAGGAGCTGGAGACCAAGGGACGACCCATGGCAAACCCCCGGGGAATTTCAGGCCACGTGAGCAGCGGGGTGGGCAGGGCCGCAGGAGGACAGTGTTAGAGACCCTAGACCAGGAAGCCCGTTCCGCCGCAGGGAGGGCTGGTGAGGGCCTAGGTAGGAGCGGGTCCTCGCTAGGCTTCGGAGGGCACTAGGGGCCTGCTGGGCGCACAGCCCCGAGGGCTCGTCAGGGGGAGTGCTTGGCAGCAAGAGGAGCGTTGGCAGGTGGCTGGATTTTATGTCACTTTAAAAGAGGAGGGCAGGGAGCAAGAACAATGTCAGAACCTGCAGCAACATAGAGTCAGCATGGGCCACTCCCCAGGATCCTCTGGAACCTGGGCCCAGGGTCCCTGCCGTCCCCGTGCATGGCCCTCCACTGCCTTTGACCCTACCCATGGCTAGGACCCCACACCAGAGCCAGACCTTTTCCCTCCTCACCTCCGTACATGCAGTGGGAAGCAGAGGGTGGCAAACTCACTGGAAATGCACACAGCACCACTGTGTGCCAGGTCAGGGCTAGAGACCAGCACAGAGGGGCAGCTGCTCCTTCCCCATCCTCCTGCTGCCTGGAGCTCTGGAAAGGAGAAGCCCTGTGAAATGATCACGGATCTTCTCTGCAAGGCCAACGGGTGGGCAGGGCAGGTCTTGAGGCTACCCAGCGAAGTAGGGGGCTGACAGTACACCTTCTGGGGTCCCTGCCCCAGCCCAGGACAGGGCTTTTCTACCCTGTGCCCCGCCAAGCCACCCACACCTTGGGTCTCAGTGCTGCCGCCCTTCCCTCTGTCTCAGGTGTCGGCGCTGCCACCCAACGGCCTGGTCCGCAAGGTGAAGCGGACACTACCCAGCCCCCCTCCAGAGGAGGCTCACCTGCCCCTGGCTGGCCAGGCCCCCCCACAGCTGTACGCAGCCAGCCTGCTGCAGCGTGGGCTGGCAGGGCCCACCGCTGTCCCTGCCACCAAGGCCAGCCTGCTGCGGGAGCTGGACCGGGACCTGCGGCTGGTGGAGCATGAATCCACCAAGCTGCGCAAGAAGCAGGCAGAGCTGGACGAGGAGGAGAAGGAGATCGACGCCAAGCTCAAGTACCTGGAGCTGGGTATCACACAGCGCAAAGAGTCTTTGGCCAAAGACCGGGGCGGCAGCCGTGACTACCCCGCCTTGCGTGGTCTCGGCGAGCATCGCGACTACCTGTCAGACAGTGAGCTCAACCAGCTACGGCTTCAAGGCTGTGCCACCCCCGCTGGCCAGTACGCAGACTTCCCAGTCACTGCGGCGGCCCCTGCCACCCCCTCCGGCCCCACTGCGTTCCAGCAGCCCCGGTTCCCCCCTTCGGCCCAGCCGTACACCGCAGGCAGCGGTGGGCCAGCTCAGAACGGATTCCCAGCCCAGCAGGCGCCCGCCTACCCTGGCCCCAGCACGTACCCAGCACCTGCCTTTCCTCCTGGCGCCAGTTACCCAGCTGAGCCCAGCCTGCCGAGCCAGCAAGCTTTCCGTCCCGCAGGCCATTATGCAGCCCCAGCACCCGTGCCACCCACACAGGGCACCCTTTACCCAGGCCCAGCTGACAGCCGTGCCCCCCACCAAAAGCCACGCCAGACGTCACTAGCCGACTTGGAGCAGAAGGTGCCGACCAACTATGAGGTGATTGGCAGCCCTGCTGTAGCCATGTCTTCAGCCCCAACTGAAACTGGCTACGGCGGCCCAGCGGTAAGCAGCAGCTATGAGCAGGGCAAGGCCCCTGAGCCGCCCCGGGCCGGTGACCGTAGTGGCAGTGCGAGCTTGAGCTCAGCCCCCACCTACCCCTCTGACTCACATTACACCAGCCTAGAGCAGAATGTCCCTCGGAACTATGTGATGATTGATGACATCAGCGAGCTGACCAAGGACAGCACTTCCACGGCCCCTGATAGCCAGCGGCTGGAACCCATGGGCCCAAGCAGCAGTGGGCGTCCAGGGAAAGACCCTGGAGAACCAGGCGTCCTTGAGGGGCCCGCGCTGCCCTGTTGCTATGCCAGAGGGGAGGAAGAGTCCGAGGAGGACTCCTATGACCCCCGTGGGAAGAGCGGCCCCCACAGGGGCGTGGAGAGCAACGGCCGGCCCCCCAGCACCCACTACTACGGTGACAGTGACTACAGACACGGGGCGCGAGCAGAGAAGTATGGTCCGGCGCCCGTGGGGCCCAAGCACCCCTCCAAGAGCCTGGCTCCAGCTGCCGTCTCCTCGAAGCGCAGCAAGCACCGGAAGCAGGGCATGGAGCAAAAGATCTCCAAGTTCTCCCCCATTGAAGAAGCCAAGGACGTGGAGTCAGACCTGGCCTCCTACCCCTCCCCTGCGGTCAGCAGCAACCTGCCCTCTCGGGGCAGGAAGTTCCAGGACGAAATCACCTACGGGCTCAAGAAGAATGTGTATGAGCAGCAGAGGTACTATGGGGTGTCCGGCCGGGACCCCATAGAGGAGGACGACCGCATGTACGGTGGGAGCAGCCGGTCCCGGGTAGCCTCTGCGTACAGTGGGGAGAAGCTGTCCAGCCATGACTACAGTGGCCGGGGCAAGGTGTACGAGCGGGAACGGGAGGCTGTGGAGCGACATCAGAAGGGGGGACCCAAGCCCTCATCCCTGAGCATGGCCCACGGCCGGGCCCGGCCCCCCATGCGGAGCCAGGCCTCTGAAGAGGAGAGCCCCGTCAGCCCCTTGGGGCGGCCCCGCCCCGCCGGGGGCGCCATCCCTCCTGGGGACACCTGCCCCCAGTTCTGCTCCAGCCACTCCATGCCTGATGTCCAGGAGCACGTCAAGGACGGGCCGCGGGCCCACGCCTATAAGCGCGAGGAGGGCTACATCCTGGACGACTCCCACTGCGTAGTGTCTGACAGCGAAGGTAATGGCAGCTGGGGATGATTTCTGCAATGCTCAGCTCTTGGGGGACCCGCCTGCCAGTGGGGCCCTGGGTTCTAGGATGTCCCGTGGGCCCTCCTGCAGGCGGCCCTTCTTGCCTGCCCCACCTGCGCCCCGGCCCCGCTTGTGGGAGGGTGTCTGGGGCCTCGTGCCGAGCCGGCGGCTGTGGCATGCACTCTGGTTTCCTTGCATGGCTTCTGCGGGCCTCCCCTTGCAGCCAGCCCCATGGGTTGACAGTGCTCTGTCTTTGGTCTCTGAAGCGTATCACCTGGGCCAGGAGGAGACAGACTGGTTTGATAAGCCCCGGGATGCCCGCTCCGACCGGTTCAGGCACCACGGGGGCCATGCAGTCTCTTCCTCCCAAAAGCGAGGCCCCGCCAGGCACAGCTACCACGACTACGACGAGCCCCCTGAGGAAGGCATGTGGCCGCACGATGAGGGTGGCCCGAGTCGCCACACCTCAGCCAAGGAGCACCGGCATCACGGTGACCATGGGCGCCACTCAGGCCGCCATGCTGGCGAGGAGCCGGGCCGACGTGCTGCCAAAGCACACGCTCGGGAACTGGGTCGCCACGAGGCCCGGCCTCACCCTCAGCCCAGCTCTGCCCCAGCCATGCAGAAGAAGGGTCAGCCTGGGTACCCCAGCTCCGCCGAATACTCACAGCCATCCCGAGTCCCATCAGCGTACCATCATGCCTCTGATAGCAAGAAGGGCTCCCGGCAGGCCCACTCTGGGTCTGCGGCACTGCAGCCAAAGCCAGAACCCCAGCCGCAAGGCCGGCAGGCAGCTCCAGGGGCGCAGCAGTCACAGCCGCCCCCACCCAGGCAGACACCCTCGGCGGCGGCAGCCCGCCAGCCACAGATGCAGCAGCCGCCGCAGCCGCCGCCGCAGCAGCAGCAGCCGCAGCAGCAGCAGCAAGGTCTCGGGCTGCAGCCCGCCCAGCAGGCCCCGCCGCAGGCTCGGCTGCAGCAGCAGGGTCAGCCGACCGCCCGGGGCCCAGCCCCTGCAGCCGGCCAGCCAGCAGGAAAACCTCAGCCAGGGCCCGCGACGGCTGCAGGCCCCCCGCCAGCAGGACCAGTAAGTAGGCCTCCAGTGGCTGGCCCTTGCCAGGGTGGGTGCCCGCGCGGACCTCCCCTCAGTTCTAGGCTCGCAAAGACGATGGGCGCTCTCTCAGCTGTGGGTTCTGTGTTGCAGGCACGGACCGAACAGGCCAACGGCTCTAAAGGGATAGCCAAAGCGCCCCAGCAGGGGAGGCCGCCTCAGGCCCAGGCACCGCCGGGATCTGGACCGACAGGTGAGCCTGCCTTCAGTGCCCTCGTCTCTGGCCCAGAGTGCCTGGCTAGGTTCCCTCCCCCTGCACCTACTGGCACCCTGAGCTCAGAACTGCTCCCTGAGAAGGTGCCCAGAGGCTGCAGACCGCCCCAGCAGAAAATGAGCCTGGGGCTAGAGTGAGCCAATTCGGCCACCAGCATTGTGCCCCAGCGCCCAGCGCCCTGGCCAGGAAAGCTGGAAGGTACTGGTGAGTGCTGGGCGCGACCGTGCCTTGCCGCTGCCTCCTCCTCCCTCCTCTTCTGCCTGTTCCTCCTCTGCTTTTTCCTCCCATTCGCCTTCTTTCCCTCCCTCAACTTCCTTTTTCTTCTGCTTCGCCCACTCCTTTTCTCCCCGTTCTGACTCCTCCGTCCTCCGCCTTGCCTTCCCTCCTCGCGGGGGTCCCACTCCAACCCTGAAGAGCCAGGCCGAGCATGGCTCATGATGAGGGTTTCTTTTCTCTAGGCACAAAGACCGGAGCCAGGCCTGGAGGGGCCCCTGCGGCGCCTGCCGGCCAACCTGGTGCCGAAGGGGAGAGTGTGTTCTCCAAGATCCTCCCCGGAGGGGCGGCAGAGCAGGCTGGCAAGCTGACAGAAGGTAGGCACTGCCTGCAAGCCAGGTCCCCGGGGGCAGCGGAGCCAGAGCCTACTCTGGCAGCAACTGGGTCTGGCCATTGGGTCTGGGGAACGTTCTGGGTTCATTCACCTAGGCCTGGGCCAACTCGAGGGCCTACCTGCTGCGGCTGGCTAGTTCTCCGGGCAGTCCCTGTTTCTCCGACTTCACCGGCTTCTCATGGCCCAATCTCCTGATGCATCTCTCCTTTCTCTACCTCACAGCTGTCTCTGCTTTTGGCAAAAAATTTTCCTCATTCTGGTGACCATTCCCTATAGGGTAAGTATGAGAACGCAGCATCCCCTGGGAAAGGCCTGATGTGCTCCGGGCGGCTCTAAGGCCAGAGGGGTCCTCCGGGAGGTACCTGGGCTGCAGGTGATGTGAGCGAGCTACAGTGTCCTCCTCAGTGAGTGTGGGAGGAGGAGGGCGATGAAAAGAAAAGGAGGGGCCCCATGCACAGCGGCCCCACAAAGGCAAGCCAGGGCAACGTTCCCTGTCCCCCATCCTTCCTCTTCTCCGCCCCCCCCACTTCTCCTCTTACATCTCTCAGTTGGCATTAGGTGGGGTTCCTGGGGTACAGCTCCCCGCAATCCTCCTCTGTAAATGCTCTACAGGCTCTTGAAGAAATGAAGGGAGATGATATCATTGCTGTGGAAAAATCTCTGGAGTCAGAGGCCTGGGCGCAGCTCTGGACTCTGCGTATAACAGTGAGTGTCAGGGCCAGAGGGGGTGGGCAAAGGCGGGGTCAGGCCTGGCTGCCCAGCTCCACTCACTCCCTGCAAGTGTGGGCTAGGAGAGGCCTTGTGGGCTTCCTTCAACTGTGATGGGCCCAACAGCTACCTGGGAGGAGGAACCCCTGAGCTCACTGAAAGGACTCGGTAACCTTGGGGGAGCCAAGTCGACGATCCCACCCCCTCAGGCACCCCCTCCCCCCCCCGGACTTGGAGTCTGTGGCTGGACACTGATTCCAAAGCGGCCCTGGAACTGTGGCTCTTGTGGGGAGGCAGGCACCTTCTTTGAGGTCCGGCGCCAGCGATACGGCTCCAGCCAGTTGGTAAGGCCCAAGTCCCAAAACTTGCAGAGCTCAGTAGCCCTGGGCACAGAGTCAGGGCGCCACTGACTTCTCAGGCTGGCCTCGGGACCTGCAAAATGGAGGCCCCGGACGAGCAGAGAGTCAGATGGGAGAGGGACAGATTTCCTGGAAAGAGAGGACACCCCCCGGACAGGCCGTCTCAGCCCAGGGAGAGAGTGGAAACGCTTTAGGAGGGGAGCCTGGGTTGGGGGCTACAGAGGCCAAGCCAGGATAAGAAGCCTCCTTCCTTCTGGATCCTTCTCCGGCCCCACCATGCTGTGAGGGAGGAGTCAGAGCGTCATCCAGGACGGCAATGGAGGCAGTCAGCTGTTGCTGTGGCCAGCCAGGGGCCATTTCCTACCACTGCCTAAGCTGAGGCCTTCCTCCCCCTACTTTGCCAGGTTGTGGTGGGCAGGTGTGTATGTGTGGCAGGGCCAGGCGGTCATCAAGCAAATCACCCAGGTGCCCTGGGGCCTCTCTGAGGGAGGCACTGTTGTGAAAACAGGAGAACAGAACTGTGGGGTAGCGGGGTCGGCTCAAATGAAAGTGGCAGGTGTGAGAAAGGAGCTGGGAGCAGAAGAGGCTGCTTCAGGATGTGTCTAGGCGAGGAGAAAGCACCCACCAGGCCTGATGTCTGGATGAGATGCTTGGGCCTCTGGTGCAGGCACAAGGCCAGCACAGCCCGAGCCGGCAGGGAGGTGCGAGCGAGGTGGTCTGGGCGAAGCCTGCGGGGGGAGGAAGGTGGGAGCCAGCTGTGGGGGGCTGGGCAGGCCAGAGTAAAGGGCCTGAATGTCTTCTGATTACAACATCCCCCGCGCTGCACCCAGCGTCCTTCCTGCCGTCGGGGTGGGCGTCCCTGCTCCCTTCCCGCTTAGTTGGGTCTTTCCTCGGGGCGGCCCTGGAGCAGATGCGAAGTCAGAGCTGTGCTGAGGGGAGCGAGGAAGGGCAGCCAGGGCAGCCGTCGCCAGGCCCATGGCTGCACCAGCCTGAGGTTCAGAGCAGGACGTCTACACTGGGGAGACAAAGGAACCAGAAGGCTGGCTGTGTTCTGTGTCCTGCCACATGTCGGGGGGGGGGGGGAACCACTGAGACACTAACGTTGTAGTTAAAGACGTCTCCCCCAAGTTCTGGCGCTTGGCTAATGACCAAGCAGTCGGTACTTCTGTGAGTGTCCATGCTGTGGTGTCTGTAATGGCAAATCAGAAGTGGGCTGGGAGGTTTTCCTTTTTGTTTTAAACAAAGCCCCGTCTCCCGCTCTCAGAAGCGAAACCGAAACCAACGTGTGATGTATTGAAACAGCGTCCCTGCCAGGCCAGCCTGATTCTTCTCTTTTCCTGTCCTCTCCGTGAGCTCAGACCTGCCCAGGCGCCTGTCCCCCCACACCGGGGCTGCCGTGCTACGGGGGCTACGGGGCCCGAGGGCGAGGCGGAGTCAGGCCGTCAGCCTGTGACGACAGAGAGGACGGTGGGGGTGGGAAGCAACTGTCCAGTTCTTGACAAAACCCTTCTCTTTCCTCCCCCTTCCCTTCCTTTCTCTTCCAAGCATCTACAAACTGGCAAACCCTTGGCCCAAAGACTCACAGCAGGTGGGACGTGGCAGCAGGCCTCAGTTCAGGACGGGATGTTTTATAACAGCAGCTGCCTGGGTGAAGCACCTGCTGGACAAGTGGGACCACTGGCCCGGGGACCTCTGATTGTCTTTGCAGAGACCCTGCTCTCCTCAGGGCGCTACCTTCAAGGCACAGGCGTCGCTGGGAGGGGGGAGCCCTCTCCGGAACCCTGCCACCCTGGCAGTCTCGCTGCTCCCCCACAGCCGCCTTCCTGCGGCCTGGCCAGCCAGGCTTCCAGTGCGTTATACACAGAGTTTGGGTGCGCGCTGCCTGTTGTAGATGGACGCTGCCCCCCCTCCGCGATGCCAGAAGTTTTTCCACAGCCTTGGAAAGGGGCTTAGACTGAGGGTGGGGGGCCCTGGGCTCCGTTTCCTTCACATTCCAGCTGGCCCAGGTCCCTCTGTGGCCACAGGACCCTGCCCTCCGGGTGGCAGCGGAGCAGACCTCCATGTGGCTAGTGTGGGGTTGGGAGAACTTTACAAACATTAGGACCTAACACTGTCTCATCGCTGAAATAAGAGGCCATAGCACCGAAAAGCAGCGTGGGCGCCGGCTGAGACTTCTCCCAGCCCATGGGTGGCAGTGTGCCAGCTCGCCTGCCGCCACCTCGAAGCCATCCCCCAGTCATCGTGAGCACCCCAGCGGACCGCCGTTGTCTCGACCAGCCGGCTCCTCATTCGTACACCTGGGGATTTCTTTTGATTTCAACAGCAGCCTTAATCATTTCAGTTTGATTTACATGTATACCTCATAAACATTTTCCTTTTGTTTCTCCTCCTCTCTTTTCTCTCTCTTTGCCCACCTCCTTGCCTCTCCCTCCACCACAACCTTGTGACTGATGGTTTGGTTTCTTCTCTGCTCTGTTCCTGCTCAGCACAGGGAGAATGTTGACCTAGAAGCAATAGTGGGCAGCAGGCCGCCAAGAGCACAACCCCAGGGCAGGGTCTGGGGAGGCCCCTCAGCCCGCCTCTGTTTACCGTGCAATTATTCCAGTCCTTCTTAAGCCATCACCATCAGAGCAGAGGGGCCAGGGCTTCTGCCAGCCAAGGGAAGGGCCCAGCGCCCTGTGCTGGGGAGCGTGGCACTGTCTGTCCTCCTGGTGGACTGGGCCACATTCTTCCCCAGGGCTCTTCCCTTGGGGGGCCTCCTTCATCTTGGGCACAGTCACAAGTCTCATCTCTGATGTTCTATGCAATGAAATATAAACCCTCAAAGACAACTGTTAATATTTAATAAATTCCATGTTATGTATAAGGAGTTAATTGCAAACTGCAATTGAGAAACTGAATAGATATGCTCATATCGAACCCCGACCCCTGTCCCCACCGTGTGTGTGAAACTCTCAGTCTGTGGCATGCTTGACCTGTGGCAGGACTCGCTGCCGCCAGGCGAGGCGCCGCCTGTCCCGCAGTGCAGCATGCACAGCTCGCAGCCTCTTTGCACGATTTCATCCATTTTAAATGCTCGACCCTCTCGCTTGGAGTTCTTTTTGCCTCAGAGCCTCTCCTTCAGGAGTGCTTCCAGCTGACTTCTGCACGAGCTAGCTAGCGAGGACCTGTTAGAACTGTCGCCTGAGTGTGCCAGGCTGTGGGGCGGGCAGTATAAGGCCCCACAGGCCCTGAGGCTTTCTCTGACCAAGATGGCAGGTGAACAGGAAGAGACACGCTAGAGGGAGCCCATGCAGAATATGCGGGCGTGAATGTATTGAAGGCGTGTTGTAGGATTTCCATCTGTAAGTCGCTCCCCTCTTATCCAAGCCCTGAGCCAGAGGCATCTGGCCACCCCTTCCCAGCCAAGGACTGCCCACAGCCAGAGCTGGGCTGCTTCTGTAACCAGAGAGACAGAGGCCAAGGGCAGGAACTGGCTCTGCCCTGGGCCCCCACCTCTGACTGCACATGCGGCTGGCTGCTTAGATATCTGTGAGCCGAGCGATCTAGGCTGGGAACCTAAGCTGAGGCCAGGGGTCAAAGGGTGCTCAGGAAGAGCTGGACCTTTAACTGACAGTGTTGTTTTGGGCCAGAGTAGGCATTCACATGGGCTCATGGTTCCCACCTGAGTTTCTGGGAAAGCCGCTGAATAGCAGACCTTAGAGGAGGTCCGATTTGACCCTCTCTACATCTTTCCCAGGACCCAGTCTCCCCGGTCACCCCCATCTCTGTGGCTCCCAGTGCTCATCAGCTTCTCTGACTGAGCCAGGCGTGCAGCCAGCAGTTGCTTCCCACACCCTGAGGCCTGCCCTTCCTGCAGAGTTCTCTGGTTTGCACCATGCATTTCTCAGGGGTCCACATTTCTCATGCTTTCCTATAAGGTCTACACACTCCTTCAGGGAGAGATCCTGGCCCAGCTCTGGCAGCAGTGGATGGGACAGGAGACTGGCAGTCTCTGTGTTGGACCGGGGACTCTGGGCTCCCTTGGATCTGGGCCTCACTCCCTCCTGGGATATCTGCCTCAACCCAGAGAGAAGGCCTGGGCTGTAGGAGGCCATCCGAGCCAGGGCTGGGAGAGGCCGCCACCCAGCACCTCTGACCACCCCGAAGCAAGCCTTCCCTCTAAAGGCCAGGGGATGGGATGAGGAGCAGGGGAGAGGCACGGATGACAGGCAGTCAACCTCCATCGGGCCTGGTCTCACTCTAAAATGTTGGCTTTCAGCAAATTTATTTCTGCCAAGCCCTCTGAGTTTGAAATTTCTGACATCTGCCACTCCCCACCGTCCGATGTACCCACGAGACACATCTGTATCTGTCGCCCCTCGTAAAGGTGGCTGGAGCTCCGGGTCACAGGGGTCCTGGCCCTTGGTGAGTGCAGCTGTGGCTGGGGAGCACTGCAGCCAGAGGCTGAGGGACCAGCCTTTCGTACATTGGGCAGTGGGGTGAGCAGTAAGCACATCTCCAAATGAGATCCCTGGGTGTAGCCCAGGCCTTCTCCACAGCTGCCTCCCCAGCACCCTAAGCAGGGGTCAGGCCTCCTCTGCCACTTCGGGACTTAAAAGGACTCCCTTCACAGTGACGCCCTCCCCCCTCAGCGCCTGCTTAGTCCTTGGGCAGAGAGTGCGCCTCGGCTCAGGATGCGAGGGCAGCAACTGTGGCCTGTTTGCTGACACGTGAGGTGCTCTCGGGCGGGTCCTTTGCCGTGGCAGTGTGGTCCTGGTCTGCCGGCCTCCCCCTGCCTTCCTGCGCTCTTCCCCCATTCTGTAAATATTTGTCACTGTAGACTCCAATAGGGTCAGAGGGATAGGCCTGATCAACTGCAACTCCTCAGAGATGTCATCTCTGTCGCCCTGGGTACCAGCAGCCCTGCAGCCGCCACGTGCACCAGAGCGCCACTGGAGAGCCATGGAAGTCTCGAGACATTGTGTGTGTGCATGTGAACAAGTGCGTGAGTGTGTATGTGCGTCTGCCTCATTCAGCCTCTGGGATCAAATCAGCTCCTTCTCTCCAAGCACAATGCCTTGGAGGGTGGTGGCCGCCCAAGCCTTTCCTCTGCTAGCTCCCATGTCTTGTTTTTGCTTCCCCCTCACTCCTTTTCACCCTTCTTCCTCTCTCCCTTTCTTTCCTTCTCTCCTTCTTTATTTGAGGGGGGAAGAGTGCTGTACAAAGTCAAACAAACAAGTTTACAGTTGTAAGTGCAATGACCCGAGTCCTCCACATGACCTTGTGAATTGTGTGCCGTCCTCCTGTGCTCTGTGAGAACTCGTGGTACTTCAGTGTCCCCCCACCCCTGTATCGTGACAAGGTAATTCTGTGGTATCAGAATAAAAGGACTTGATATAAACAATCTATACACTGTCTCTGGCTGGTTTCTGAGATGGGAAGAATTAGCCAGAGTAGCAAATCTCAAAACTTGCGGCAACCCTATCTGTTGACAGTTAAAGGGAAAAGAATGAAAGGATGAAGTTGCAGAAGTACTGACAAAGCCATCCAAAGACAATAGGCCCACGCCTCCCTGGTGGTGCAAGGGGTTAAGTCTCAGCACTATGAGGCTCTCCCACAGCCACTGGCCACTGCAGCATGAGTTCCATCCCCAGCATGTGACTAACCCACATGACTGGCAGACCTCTCTCCTGACCGGCCTGCTGCTCCCCTCAGCAATGTATTTCAGTCACTCTGCCTGTTCTGCTCCCCACTCTCACCACCCCCACACTCTCCCCTGCACCTCTGGCCCAAATCATATGCATGTGTATGCATATATAAATAAAACAAATCTTAAAAAAAAAAAAAGACAATAGACTGTCCACAAAGGTGCCTCTGGTCAGTCCCAAGCTTGACTCTGGAAGGAGCAGTTTTCTTTCACTGCATGGACAGTTGAGAGATTGTGCCTCACTCAGCTTTGTGTATCCGGTTTGTACAGCTTTCTGGGGCCTGGTTCATGGGTGGGCAAGTGCTGCCCCCTAGTGCTCACAACTGGCTCTTCACAAGCTGTGAACTCGGGGCTCTTGGAAGCTGAGGACCTTAGTCCTTCCCCAAAGAGGCTCCCAACTAAAAAAAAAGCCCACAGTTGCAAGGAAAAAATGTAAAACAGGAATGAAAAGAATATCAACTTTGTGTCTGACCTTCCTTCAAGGGCTAATATCTTGAAGTATGTGCTTCCTGTTTGTCTTTCTCAATTCTTCAATTTAAGCTGAAGCCTGAAACTTCGGTGTTCCCGTTTTACTACTCTTCTGTTCACCTCTACCTGTTTATTCCAGGCACTTAGATGTCCTTCCTCCAACACCCAGCCTCCAGAGAACTGCAGTATGAGTTCACAGCTAGTCGACCACATGGCCTGAAGGACAAGCACCGAGTTCCCAGTGTTCCTATTGTAAATGGTACCGTGATGTACATCATAGTTTCTGCTCTTTCCACCCAGGTTCGTGACTGGGGCCACCTTTCTGCTCCCAATTCTGAGTTTGACAGCCCTGCACACACTAGGTGCTCACAAATGCAAGCAACCTCAGAAACTGGGGCTATTTTATTTATCTCATACAGTTGGTGGGGAAGAGGAGGCTGCACGCCAGGCAAGTGGAATCTCAGTCAAATGGCAAGGCCAGGACCTTGAGGCATGTCAGACCAGCCAAGTGCTGGGCATATGGAGTAGCTTGGAGGTCCTATTGCTGCCCAGACGCTCCTGTTTTTCGTTACCATCATAACCCACCCACTCCTGTGGCACTGTGGTCAGGGAGCCTGTCCACCCAGGTTCTTCTTTCCACAAAAAATTCTCATTCTAAGTGGAGCCACACCCCACCAAACCATGCGCACCCCAAGAACTTGGGCTTGGGGAACAGCGGAACACACAGAAGCCCACTGTTCCCCATCCCCAGTAAGGCACCGCAGATCAGGGTGGGTGAAGGTTTCGGGGACAGATAGCTTCTAAGGGGTAGGCCTGGTGGCCGATAAGCCCTGAGAGCTGGGCACCCGCCCTTCTTTGCCCGGCAGCCCAGGGTGCTGTACTCTGGGCTCTCCGCTTTTCTCCGTTTGCCTGGGAGAGGACAGGACCAGGCAATGTCTGGTGAATGTTTGCCTCTTTGTGGACCAGGAGACGGTCACCTCTGGAGCTGCGGGAGACCCCAGCTGGACCGGCGGCGTAGGCAACTGCTAAACCTCAAGGTTTCAAGGATCCGACCCTTCCCAGCGCACAGCTCCAGCTCCGCCCTAGCGCACCCCTCATCTTGTAGATTCAGTGGTGTGCATCCCTCTCAGGCACCGCCCCTTTTTCCGCTTGGTGCACCCTGTCCTTCCCACTTGGCTGCGGTGGGCTAGGGGTCCAGGCCTGGCTCAGCCCTCGCCCCTTACACCCCCCCCCCCCCCCCGGGCCGTGTTGCTCCTTACTGATCCTTCTGTCTAAAGACCTGTCCCCCTATTTCGTTGCACAGCGCATCCCTTCTGCTCGGAGCAGATGCCTCCCAACCCTTGCCCTCCCAGCCCACAGACCCCCGCGGCTGCCCAGCCCGCACCGCCCCTAGAAGGCCAGCTCCTCCGCGCGAGCCCCGGCTCCTTCGGCCGGGAGCTCCCGGGCCCACCGCTCCGGCTGGCTCCGGCCACACCTCCGGGCCGCCGAGGCCCCGCCCCCTGCTAACGGTCCTCGCCCATTTGTCGGCGGGCCCGCCCCGCTCGGCTCCGCCCCCCAGCCTCACTTCCGGGCGCTAGCGCGTCCCGCCTCGCCCGGGCCAAAGAGCTATCATGGAGCGGCAGGTGAGGGCACGGCCCGCGGTTCCCGTGGTCCTTGCAGCCCGGGCCGGGCCTGACCCTGATGTGTCCCCTGCGCAGGTGCTGCTCAGCGAGCCCGAGGAGGCGGCGGCGCTGTACCGGGGCCTGAGTCGCCAGCCCGCGCTAAGCGCCGCCTGCCTGGGCCCAGAGGTCACCACGCAGTATGGGGGCCGCTACCGGACGGTGCACACTGGTGTGTGTATGGAGGGGAGTAGGGTGGCGGGCCCGTTCCGGGTCTGTACACACGGCGTAGAGGAGGGGGATGTGGAGGGCTCACTGCTTAACAATGCACACAGGTGTGTGGGTGAAGATGGGGCTTGGAGGGAGTGGGGAATGAAAGGGTGCACCCCCAGAAGCCCATGCAGACACTTGTGTGGAGGGGGTGAGCTGTTTGGGGCCTTGTGGGATCGTGCCATGAGTGTGGGATAGAATTCAGAGCAGGGTGCAGGGAGTGGCCTTATAGGGCTCACCCCTGTCACCCTACACCATATGCATGTCAGGCTGGCCTGGGGGAATCCGGGGTGGGTTCTGAGAGCAATAGTGGTTTCTCCAAGAGGCCTTCCTCTCCGGTGCTAGAGCCGAGGTGTGGGTTGTGGCCAGGTGTTGTCCATCATGTATCCAGCACAGCCGGAGACAGGTTGAGGAAAGTGGGCTGGGCCTTGCTGGGAGCAGGGCCTTGGGGTGCAAGTCGAGTAGTCTCATACCTCTCCTCGCAGAGTGGACCCAGAGGGACCTGGAACGCATGGAAAACATCAGATTCTGCCGCCAGTACCTGGTGTTCCACGACGGGGATGCAGTGGTGTTTGCAGGGCCTGCGGGCAACAGTGTGGAGACCCGGGGGGAGTAAGTTTGAGAGAGGAAGCTGTGGGCAAGGCCCCAGCCATCTGCAAGCCTTTCGTGAATGTCTGGGTGCAGGGAGGGCCCAGAAGAGGGGCCAGGAGTCAGATTCCTGCCCCAGGAGCTTTTATGGTCTCTGGAGACGTGATTGGATAAGCCCTGGAGCCTTGTTCCACATGTGGGCCTGGGACTAGAGTCCGTGGAGACTCAAAGAGGCTGAGGAGAGCAGTTACTCTGCCCAGGGAGGAGAAGCAAGGACGGCCGCTACGGTGGGGCGAGAAGGGCCCTGGGAGTAGATGTGGAATCAAAGCCTCGAGAATCTTATTTACAAGCTTGTGGCCTGTAAGAGAGCAGGATGCAGCTGTCTTTAGGTGGGAGGAAACCCTGACCTCCCATCCTGTGTGCCCTGCAGGCTGCTAAGCAGAGAATCTTCTTCAGGCGCCATGAAGGCCGTGCTCCGCAAGGCTGGAGGCACGGGCCCCGGGGAGGAGAAGCAGTTCTTAGAGGTGAGTCTGGAAGGGTCCTGGTGGTGAGCAGCGGGGCTCAGTGCCCCAGGTGAGGCGGTGCTGGAGGGCAGGCAACCTGATGCCCAGATGTCTTCAGGTCTGGGAGAAGAACCGGAAGCTCAAGAGCTTCAACCTGTCCGCACTCGAGAAGCACGGGCCTGTGTATGAGGACGGTGAGGCAGCTGGCTGGGGAGCAGTAAGGGTGGGCAGGAGGGGCATCCGTAGCCCAGACGCTCCCTGATGGTTGCCCCTCCCTGCACCCAGACTGCTTTGGCTGCCTGTCCTGGTCGCACTCCGAAACACACTTGTTATACGTGGCAGAGAAGAAGCGCCCCAAGGCTGAGTCCTTCTTTCAGACGAAAGCCTTGGACATCAGTGGCAGCGATGATGAGATGACCCGGCCAAAGAAGCCAGATCAGGCCATCAAGGTGCTCATGGCCACGGCCAGTCTATGAAGACGCTTCAAGATAGCCTTGGGGTTCAGTGTGTGTCCACACTGCCCGTCAGAACTAGGGAGGCACTGACCACCAGGGAGCAGGGTGGGGTCTTAAAAGACAGTGAGTGGGCACTGAATGTCTTGTGTTCTCAGGGGGACCAATTTGTGTTTTATGAAGACTGGGGAGAAAATATGGTTTCCAAAAGCACTCCTGTGCTCTGTGTGCTGGACGTCGAGAGCGGCAACATCTCTGTGCTTGAGGGGGTCCCTGAGAATGTGTCCCCTGGACAGGTTAGCACTGGCTTGGCCTGCATCATTCCTGGGTCTGGCGGCCCTGGCTGAGCTAGTGCTTCTTGTTCTTACCTGCCCGGTGATCTTGTTTACAGGCATTCTGGGCCCCCGGAGACACAGGTGTGGTGTTTGTAGGCTGGTGGCACGAACCCTTCCGGCTAGGCATCCGCTTCTGTTCCAATCGCAGGTGAGGAAGGAGGGCAGGGAACGGGCCTTGCTCCCCAGGCTGGCCTTGAAATTGAGTTTCTCTCTGGTGGTTCCAGGTCAGCCCTGTACTATGTGGACCTCACCGGGGGGCAGTGTGGTAAGTGGTTGGTACCTACCCGTCCTGTGCAGACCCACATTGGTCATGCCAGCCTGTATGATGCTCACATTTCTGTCTGATCCAGAACTCCTCTCCGGTGCCTCTCTGGCTGTCTCTTCTCCCCGGCTGAGCCCAGACCATTGTCGTGTCGTCTACCTGCAGTACCCATCTCTGGTCCCCCATCATCAGTGTAGCCAGCTGTGCCTGGTGAGCTGGAG